CGCAGTCTTGTAACCGCCCACTTCGGTGACCATCGCTCCCGTCGCACTTAAAAATCCATTTTAAACAGCATCAGACCAACTCGCAACGAAAACCAGTTATACGCCCGTCGCTTCAAGTTCCGCTTTTTCAAAATCGTGACCTGCTCGCCGACCACTTCTTTACCGTGGCACGCTGAAGAGCTCTGCCTGGAACGAGAGAATTTCAAACCGTCATGGGGCATCGTAATAACGCGCACAGCAATGTTTTTATGCCTTACATAAACATATAGCTTATAGCCTTGAACAGCAAAGCTAATGGTATGACGCAGAGATAATCAATGGGCGTGATTCGCCTTCTTGCCCGAAACGGACGTCTGTTGTATTTTAAGCTTTTTATTTCAACCAATTTACATTTCCCTACTGATGGTCTTACTGAAGGAACAATGACAGGGTAAGAAAGCAAAAAATTGAAAACATGTTAAACACTTTGAGCATCAACAAAATCTGTAAAGTGAATTCACTTCCTTCAGACTAAAAATTCTCCATACTAGCAAACAGCGTACGAAAACCCGACACTGGTACACCGATCATTATACTGCGTTATGCATTAATAAATCATTCTTGTGATATTTCTTCAAGATATTACCGTGCGTGTTTCTCAGAGCTGTCGTTGTAACTCTCACTGACTCAAGAAAGGCAATAAGCTAATCTACTGGTTACTTGAAAGTCGGAGTGATGCATTCGATTTAGACCAAGTTCATTAGCCACTGTCACCAAGTAGGTAGGCAGGCCTTTGAGCGAAGACAATGGGTGGAAGAAATAATTTCTCCAGCCTCAGTTTCGGAGAGACATGGAGGTTTCATGTACTAGTGCAGATCAATGGCCATCAAGTCCACCGCCTCTATATGGACTGGGGATTTAGTGCTTAAGATAAATTCTACAATCAATGCGTTTTGCGTATTCGTAGTTACTCCTTCATATAAACGAAATGACCAAACAATTGGTGAAGAATAAAACGCATCTCAAAGAAGTTCAAAACCAATCTCAAAGCTTTTATGGCATGGAATAATGTATAACATCAAGCCATTTAGCATGGAAAAATCCTACAGAAATCGGCTATTCAACTGAAATGAAGGACATCCGTCTGACATTTTACTCAATCCAGTAATCCAGTCTGTGATGGTCAGTTCTTTTTGACAATTGGCATTTAATTATTTTCTGCTTTGCAATGAGAAGGCTCTTGCACTGAGACTCTCGTTCATGCACAAACCCATTTGTTTGCTTTCGTAATTCATTTTATCATTCCAAACATAAGCGCCATCCATGCTGAGTTGCCTCGTCTGTGGTTTGTGTTCACAAACAGCTTTCATGTTAGGGTCCATGTTCTTCCAGGTGAAGACCCGCATGACGACTGACCAAAATTCAGGCATTAACGTAAACCATAAATTTAAAAAATTTCAGCATGCAGAATATTTCTGTTATTACTGTTAGGAGTAACTAGCCTGCCGATTACCAGAACGACCAGAAGACACAAGCTGGTAGTCGCATGTCATGAAAATTGCCCATCGGGTCCATTCGCAAGCACGATTCTGCATAAAAAGTTTCGATTGTTCCTACAAATAGTGTTTATACGCTGTGACAGCGACAAGAGGCTCTCACAAGTAGCCCACACAAACAATGAACCGGAAAACACAACCGCATTTGCAGAAAAACTGGCTGAATTACAAGGAAAGATAACTAAAGAAAGGAGAAAAATAATTTATGGCAAGAAG